TATGCCCCAGATAGGCTACTGTAGATCCTTTGTGGTAGAGGATTGACTATGAAAATGTTCTGAGAAAGAGGTTTTTGTAAATTCTTTATTTTAATGATCCTACAAAGAAATCTCATCCACAAGATCTTCTCTGAGCAAATCTTATTTTCTCACAACCATTTAAGCAAAATAATTTCAACAAACTAACAAAGCCAGGGAACAAGTAATATTGGAAGATCCTTCTTCAATACGTACAATTTCTAGTGATGCTTTTCAAAGGTCTAAGAGACTTGTCTCATGGTTTAATTAGGCTTTGTTGTCCATCTGGCTTGCATTTGCCAACACAAGTAAAGCTTGTTTCATTTTTGGACTTGTCTCCCACTAGTGGGCTTTTTGAAAGTTAGGGAATAGGAAAAAGATTGCATGGTAAATGTTCTGCTCTTCTACATGGTAAGGGCCCACTTACATTAGAAAGATGGATTTTTTATTTTATTTTAATTGAATCAGGACAGTGCGTGTGCAAACGCTCCGACATAGTAAATATGCCAGAGCGCTAAATTCCATCCGTTGTCCTAAGGCAGGTACAAACGTTTATCAATACATTTAAAGACAGACGTTCCGACAGGAAGTCAGACACAAAACAAGTTAAAAGACTTTAAGGAATGAAAGGAACAATGTTTTTGTTTAAAGACCCCAGGATTAGAAATCCTTTATGGTTCCTTTGATAATTGTCAGAATTTGTCATGCAAATTGTTGGTTTTGATAAAAAAAATATATATATATATATATATATATATATATATATATATATATATATATAGAGGAGCAAACTTAATGTATTTTTTTGTCTAAGAAGCCACATCAGTGGTCAAAGACTTTGGTTGGAATGGGAGGTGGAAATACCCTGATGCTGCAACTGCAAATTGGAAGAAAATAATAGTAGTTGTTCCTTGACCTGGAACAACTGACCTGAGTGTCCCCCACTGTTTTCAGTTCAGCAAATGATCAGGATGTTTATTTAAGTTGTTTTCCATTGTTACAAGCTTTACTGAAGTCTTTCCTTCACTTGACATTTGAACATTTCCATACACCAACAGAGTTGCTGAAGTTCTGACAGAAACTTTTGGATATTTGCATTGGTCACAGGACTTCTTCAGCAGATATCAAGCATTCAAAGAAAGTTAGAAGATTATTTTTAATACAAACACCTGTCCATCATAAACATGTCCCACTATGAATCAACCTAACAGCACAAAAGTGTTCTACATATGGCTTGATTAATTCAAAATGCTTTATCAATCCAAAAGGGAAATTAAATAATGAGGTAGAGCTGATCTCAAATCAGCTCTATGAATTAGAAGTAATGTACTCTTTGTGGGGGTGTATGAATAGTGTTCTGGTAACTCATTTTGAAATAACCTGATGTTATCAGGTTAGAAAGTCATTTTTTCAGTGGTGATTTTAAAATACAGATGCCATTTTTAACCTGTTATGTGAAATAATACTGTAGATTTCTTTACAGCGTCTAAGAAAACTAAAAACTAATTATGCATGATAATCATTGGTATGAACATCAAACATTAATAGATATGGATAATTTGATTTCTTAAAAGCAAATATCTTTTATATCCTCCAATTTCCTTATGTTTCCAGTTAACTGTCAACTTATTCCATCCCCTCCCTTACAGTCATCAAATTCTTTCTCTCTTTTTTTCCCCGGGTTTCTCCCCTGATTGACTGTCATCACAACTGACAGCACAGCCAAGAGAAAGATGATAAACAAGACATTTACATCAGAGAAATGTCCACACCTCACCCGTGCACATAAAACGTACGCTGTAGGGGGATGAAGGGATGGAGAGAATCACAAAGCCAGTTGAAAATGAATTAGGCTGATGCCTGTAAGGGAGCTTAGAATCTGCAAAAAAGTTTTCACATTAAAAGAGAAATTTCAACATATTACAGTTATATGAACCATTAATCTGCCCTGAGAAAAAGTAGGCTGCAGTCAATTTGAATTTATGTTTCAAACTAAACTCAAAGCAGAAACATGAATGTATTACAAGGTTGTTGTTGATGGAGAAAAACTGAGGCAAGTCAGTGAGGCGTTAGAAAGAAAAACACCATCATTGATGACGGATATAAATCAAACAAATCTGATTACTGCAGATTTGTGTTTACTAGCTACTAGATTTGGATTTATCCATTTTGCATTGTTTTGTTTCTGTCAGTAAAATATATATATTTTGTTTTTTTCTGTGACACTGAATCCGTTATTGTCGGCGTCCACAGATTTGTTTCTAAAAGTACAAAAATAGTTTTTGTTATTATTCTTTTCTGTCTCTCTTGTTTCTGATGAATTTTATTTTCTAAGGTTACTGCAGATTTTTGTTTTCAATCAGGATCACAGATTTTATGTGTTATGATCTTTCGTTTCTTTCTTATGTTACAGCTTGTTTTTTACAGCAAAAAAATTTGATTTTTGTTGATGAAGACTGAGTTGTTTTCTTCTCTGAAAAGAGAAAAGTTTGTTCAAAGCTGAACATATGCTGAATCCTACACAGCACAGCTGTACAACTGTTTTATTATCCTCTTTAACCGATAGGTGTGAAAATTTGCAGCTGAATCAACTCTGGATATATAATGGACCGAAAAAAAAAAAAATAATTTAAAGCATTTAAACAACATCTGTCAGTTATTCCTTATTTATGCTTATAAGGGATTTATCACCAACAGCATGAGGTACAGAAATAGTCTTTGGCTCAACTATTAGTGCAAATAGAGAAGGGAAAAAAAGATCAAGCAGCCAACTAAGCAGTGATTTAATTGGCTGTGTGTATAATATAAACCTAACAGTAATTGATGACTAAAAATAACATTTTTAACTGCATAGAGGCTAATGTCAAAATAATTTCCAAAGCAATCCATTTTGTAACTTTACATGCATTTTTCTTCCTGTGTTTTAACTGCTTTCAATAAACTATGTTTACCGTTTGAAAGCAATATCCTGTCTAGTAATGCTCAATCTGGAGGGACAAATGAGGCTCGCCTGTTTCCTTTCCTTAAAATACACACTGCATGAGGAAACATAACCGTAACGTATGCTTCTCATTGCCCGTTTCACTTTAAGAAAACATTCATTTTCGTTTAAATGTGGCATAATAAGCTTTACTTTTGGTTGTTTCCATGGTCAGCGGAGAAAAAAAAAATTGGAGGCAATAACTAATGAATTACTGGCCCATAAAAAGAAAGTATTGACCTCCTGAAAGACCAATTTGATGTCTATTAATTGTGTTTTCCTTTTATAGATTGGCTCCATAACCTAAAAAAGAAATACTGGGATCATTAGAACAGAAAATTAATAAACTAGCTACTACACAGTGGTAGTAACTTGTCTTATGACTTAATTTGTTAAGTGAAATAATGCTGCATTATTTATTCTCTGCACTTTGTAATAGTGCTGTGCCCTTTTATAGCAAAAGGGACCGAGGTGGTTTTGAGTGGTTTCTGACTCCTGAGATCCTCTTAGGGAATGGAACTTACAAATATTAAACATATTTAAAATATATATATATTTATTTTGTAGTTTTATCTTGTAGAAATGCATGGATAATACATTTACAATAATAGGTAAATAATATCTTTTAGAAGCATTTGTTTTATTTTGTGTACTTTTTATATCAAATTTCATTATTTTGTAATAACATTCAATATTTTTATTTTGGTTCTACTCTGTTCTCTTTTTCTTCCTGTTTATTTGCCCAAGCTTTTGCATTGCTTATATGTTTTTTAAAGTGAAAGAGCAAATTTAAAGTTATATATGGACAATAATATATGAGCTTAATCTACAAGCCTAATGTTTTGTAGTTGTGCGTATAGCACACTGCTTTCTTGATGGAAAAAAAAACAAAAAATTTTTAATGGAAATATGCTACATGGATGTATAGCAGCTTAGATACTCTACAGGAGAGATGTGGGTGAACTACATATTTGTTTGATCTGTTGCTCTGCTAGAATTGCTTTTTAGCCAATGATAGAAGTCTTGGATTCAAGAGAAAGAATTAGTTTGAAGAAATATGGAACAACACCATCAATGCCTTAGCTACGGATGGAAACTAGCTTTGTAGCTATAATCCGGCATATTTACATTTGTTTTTATACTGATGTTCATTAATGTGCATTGTCCCTATTCAAATAAATAAATAAATAAATAAATAAATAAATAAATAAGCTATTCATAATAGCTCTTACAGTAAGTAAACAGCCAGACCATTAAGTCGAATTCATCTTTTTAATAAAGCTTGTAATTAGAGTGGCTCAGGTTATCCAGAACTATCTTTATAGTTATGTTGCTATAGGCTTAGACTGCTGGAGGACATAGGGACAATTTTTCATCATTCTGCTTCATTCTATCTCTATTCTCCCATTTTGCAGAATTTGTTAGTTAATTATCTAATGTTATGCTCTCTCTTTGCTTTTTCTCATAGAAGCTTTATTTGGTCTGTTCCTGTTTGGCTGTGCAACTATCCTGAAGAGGGTTGTCGGCTTTGCAGCTGCCATCATAACGCCTTTATTTTTGGACTTTTGTGCTTGGCCTGTTTTTCAGTTTACTCCTGTTTCTCTGACTACAAAGTTTCCAGGGGTTTGACAGATACCTCTGTATAATGCTTTGATAGATACATTTCAGTTAAACCTTTATTAGCACAAAACAAGCTGATTATAAGGGTAAAAGCAAGACAATGCACCTACCATACTGCTTGCTATGAACAGTGGGCTATTCTGGTGACACATTTTGTTGGCACAAAGATGTTGATGCCTGCTAACTTGATTAAACATTTGAAATTGAGTCCACTACTTGAATAGAATGAATGGACTTGATGTATAAAGTGTATTCTTATCCTGTATAATATATTAATAATCGTTGATGATATTCTGTGTAATTGGTTATTCTAATCTCAATAAAAAGCCTCTCGTCCATTCATCTATAGCAGTCATGATATGTGAACAGAACCCTAACTCACCGTAGCTCCTTGAACGGCTCGGCCCTGACGTGTGGTGTTTCCACGGATTTGCTGAACACTGCTCCTTCAGCCCCTAAAATCACAGAACACATAGTTAGACAGAAGGCTGCGTCAATTGAAACCAAAAACCCCTCCTGTCTGATCAATGGACATAATCTCTGAGACTCTTCCAATCCATACAGCTCTGGTCAATGTTCACATTGGCCCTCAGCTTCTAATACAATAAGACATAAGATTGACATTCTTGGATAATATGAGGATCCATCGTAAAAAAAAAAGTACAAAGAAACAACAAAATCCAGACACATTTTGAAAGAAACTTTAGTCTACTGGGCTTCAACGTTTCCAGCTTTTGATATTACCTTTAGAAAATGTAGTTACTCGGGGCAAAGAAAGGCACTGAGAGCCTAATTTATTAAAGGGCTGTGAAATTCTCCTGCCATTCAAGATGGAAGAACACCAGACTTTGCCCTTCCTTCTGATTCTCAAAGTGCTCAGAAGGTAGGACTAGTGACAGACTATAAGAAATGCAATCATACACAAAAATACATGTGGCATCCACCCCCACCCCCCCACCCCCCCCACTTATGGTTAAACAGCCTCCTCATTCAAGACCAAAATAATAATCCAGCTGTGTTCAGGCTTTACTGTTCAGTATAAAAAGGTGTAAAATGCTAAAGTGCTAATTTTGGAGAAGCTGACTGCCATTTCTATTAGGCACCTGTCTGATGGCTGTCTTAGAAGACACCCTGCTTGATTAACCAGCTAACACCAGCTTGGTGTTTGTGTTTTCTTAAAGGGTGAATTAGAAAGTTGAACGAAGATTAAAAAAAATAATTGTAAAAATTTTTTTTTCAATTTGCCTTCAGCCTCCTTGGTTAAATGTTATGCAGAACAGCTGCTGCTGCAATCTTTTCGGGCTTGTTCCCACCAGTGATAAACATCTGAAAATTTAAATTTTTCCTTACCAGCCTTAAATATCCCGACACTGAAATTTATTGCACTTTTTAGCAAATTGCTTGAAATAACACACTATCTTCAGATTATGTATTCAGATTATGTGGTGACAGAGATCTGAAGATTATTCTTTGGAAAGCTGTTGGAGATATAGGACAGAGACAGCGGAAAACTGCTGTTGCAGTCACTGGCATTGAACTGAGTCTAACCTGAGCTGATATGCTTCTCTCGTTTTGCTTGATTGCAACGAGGTGCAACATAAGAGCGCTGAAGGAAAACAAACACACACAAAAAGAGGGTAATTGGCTGGTCCTTCACCTCGAGGCTCTGATTGACTGTAGTGCCAGGGCAGCCGGCGCTTCGGGTACACCCAACCATTCAGTCACATCAAATCAACTAAGCATCAGGTGAAGATCAATAACCATGACTAAATGCAATTCTAAGCATTTTGAGCAGTTGCCGGGAGTCCACAACCTGCTACTCAGTTTTCAACAGTAAGATGGAGAACATAATGCTCCAATCTTTTAAATATCAATGCTTGTTGTGGGTCCTCAATTCATGTATCAAATGGGGTGTTTTACAGCTTTAGTCCAACTGTGTCAAGACATGTCATATTCCTGACATTTCTATTACACCTTGACAAACTGTGCTTAAAGGAGGGAAACAAAAATGATTTATGTTGAATGTTTGAAACGTTGAAAGAACAAAAATAAAATTTTCATGGTCCAATGTTGACCTACAGTAACTTCTAAATCCAGTGGTAGCAGTACGCATATTGTAATATCTCACATGTTGTGCTGTGGCTTTAGAGGTTAAGGGTATAGCTTTGGTGTGGGGGTAGTTTAGGAACATTCTGAAGGTGGTGTTGTAAGGATTACGCACAAGTAAGTAAAATGAAAAGAAAATTCAAAGACCTAATAATGTTACAATGGATTTAGGGCACTGAATTGTGAGAATGTTAACTGCCTGAAGATTCTCACCCATAAAATCAACACATACATTATATAATAAGCCACAAAATCAACTTTCTACTGGTATCTATCTAAAAAAAGTTGACTAAGTAGTTGCGGTGCCATAGGATGCACATTTTAATTTGCAAATTGAAGAAATATAAGCAGCTGCTTTATTTTTAGAAAGTTTTGCTGTAAGCACAATTTATAAAATAGTCTACTGACTCACAATTAAATGTTTTTTTTCATTCTGTCAACACCTGCACTGAAACGCTTGTGGCAGGACAAGTCTGACATAGTTTGCTGTTCTTTAATTAAACAGGTGTTTAATGGGTGTCATTCTGTGAAGACCTGGGATATTTACTGCCTTGCTCCTTCGGGGTAGCTCTTTGTAATACAGATAAACCTGTCAAAAACTGGGGAATATAAAATATCTCTATGCAAATCCATGTTGTCGCTTATGTGAAAAAGATAACTCCTTATTCACTTACAGGCAAAAATACTTCCGTTCCTCTTTCTGTTCAAACTGAATAGAGTAGGCTAAGCGAGTTTTGAAAAATGCCACGTCAGAACAAGATTTTAATCAAGTAGAACAAGCTATTGCTCGTTAACATAGATTTCACAGTATTAGAATGTATAGTAAAATGTTTTTTGTGTCAATTGGTTTCTGAAAAGCAATATATTATTTAACATGAGAGAAGCACAGAAAAATATTTGAGCTAGCCTATAAAAAGCTCATATAAAAATATAATTGATCTACTGTTTTAGAGACTAGATTAAAGGGGTGTAAACTAGCTGTTACCATATTTGGATTGATGGATGGATGGATGGATGGTTGATTTATCCAATTGTAGGTTCTAGCTTCCAAAGAAACTAAATGATGCCTTTTTATAAGCAGAAAGCAATAATGATCACAACAGTCACAAAATCTTTAATTACATCCCCGAATATTGTGAACAATGTATATTAATGTTTTGAAAAGAATTTGATGATATTCTATTTGCATGTGTTCTAACTACAAACACTATCTGGGAAGTCAATCAGGGAGTTATTTGAAGATAATTTCCGATCCATTTATCAAACTCTTAACTCGGATGTCTTTTGTTCATCTTAAGATTTGTCCACAATCACACTCCATCAGTAAAAATGCAGATATTTTAAGCTCCACTGCCTCCTATAGTAGAATTCAGAGCCAGGGGAATGAGACAGCTCCATTCATGTGCACCTCCGGTGAATAAAGTGTGATTTATCTGATCCTCTGGATCACACGGTGCACATGAATAGCGAGCAGGAAGCTGCAATACGTCACAGTACTGACATGTTGGCGGAGCGGCTGGGGCTGAGGGTCAGATGAGAAAATAAATGATACCATTAAAGATTAATGTATCTGCTTGAACAGCTGTGTGTCTGTGTGAATCCATGTCCATGTTGAGGTGTTTATGAGGTACTACTCCTAGCAGGGCCAGATATCATCAGTAGAGGCTTGAAGCATCTAAGAGGTGATGAAATACAGAGACATACACGCCACAAAAGAAACTCCCTGCAGGAATAATCTGGGTGATTGGTTGAGGCTGTAGACATGCATGAGCAGCATTGGCTGAATACCAAAAGCCTTTGTTTTTTCTGCCGTCATTCACAAACATAATGCGCAATCATGAGGGAATAATTCTGACATTTTATCATTTTGCTCACCTTCGCCATTCTTACCAGCAATGAAAGCTATATAAACATATAATAGACAGATAATTAGATATACCCCTATTTTACTGCTCAGTTTAATATGGATTAAAGGTAATGGCAGTTTGTACCATCTATATTTTACAGCTGCAATAATTGATAGAAAGACTGAAGTATGGTGTCTAAGTAAAAACTGTTAGCCAGTGTTACAATACCTTTTGGGGGTAAAACAATTAAAATAAGTCTAAGTCTGTTTTTGCCTTGTTCCAAGGCAAAAACAGGTAAACCTGTGTTTCTGCATTAAATCTTGCAAAATGGTTACAATTTCAACAGTAGACTACTTCAAGCTCTTTCAACTTTACTACATAACCAGAAATCTCTTCTAATGAAATGTGTTTGCCCAAATGACTGCAACCTCTGAGTGAGGTAGGATCCTGGCACTCTAAAAGCCTTTACCTCTTGAACGGAGTAGGCAAATTCAATCATTAACCATGTGTCGCTGATGAATGAATAAATTCAAGACTCTGCTGCTAAGAGGGGAAACTATAGCCTGAAATGAATAATGCATCCTAGAGGAAGCCAGCATAGCAAGGAAGACTGAACAAGTTTAACAAAAACATCCACTTAGATTTTAAAGAGGATAATTAGCAAATAAAGATCACTGTGAAACACGATTAATATCCAAAACCAGGTAGAACTTTAAAATGTATCCGTCTGTCGTATTAGACCATTTATTATTTATCAGTCTAACAGTGCTAATTGTACCGACCAAGCTTCCCAATCCAGTCATCATTTATCAATTTAGTCAGTCCATCCATCCATTCATCTATGAATTTCTTTATCATCACATCAGTTAAGACATTTAATAGTCCATCCATGTATTCTAGTTGGGCAGTATTAGGGACAACTAGAACTAGAGTCTAGTCTACTGAGTCTAGAATGGGTAAAAACGAATAACAATCGTATCAACTACCTGAACGATGATTTAGAAGGTTTCACTTGGTTCAGTTTTAAATTCTCATGATGTTACCCTTTTCCAAGGATTACAGAAATGTAAAGTTTCCATGAAACTGAAGATAATAACTCTAGCTGCCTTGGTTTCATATTTAGGCTCTGTACTACAGTAGCGTCCTGGATTTTAATGCATACTTTTGATGTAGAGAGAACAACTGGGTTTGATCATTTATGAATTTTAATGTGTTCCCTGCATGCAGCAGCAGGGTTATCATTAGCAGTCAAACAGAAACCTGCAGTTTGTGGCTTATGGTTGACAACACAGAGATACATGGAGATGTTTTTAGGAACAAGCAAAGACTCCTGGAACTTTTTAACCACAAAGAATTTAATCTCAACCAATCCCCAAAGGTAAAAGATGATTGATTATCATATCAGGGACCTGTAACCTTATAAAGAAAGTCCACACTTCTCCAACACTTCTCTGCTGGGAGCTCAGCAAATCTGTGCAGCTTGTTCAGGTTTCCAACCATGA